TTATAATTTTTCAGTAGATACACCCCAAATACAATCTGAAATAGATTCTAATTCTAATTCTGAATCTGAAGCAGACCTAGAATCTAATTCTGAATCTGAGTAAACAAATAATTAAATTTCTTCATGATCTCTGACATCATCAGAACAAAGAGAAAATTAGTTTAGAGAATATCAAAATCAAATAGAAGCAAGTCTAAGTAATATAAAATGAGTCAATCACCACACCAAGTAACTACTTCAAGCAGTCAACTACGACAAATACTAGTTGAAGATAGAAGGCAACAGCAACAATGAGCAGCTACTCCAAGCCATCATAGTAGAGAAGAAGAAGAACAAAATAAAGAACCACATGATAATAATATGAGTACTTTAAATATTCATGAAGTTTCTGTAAATAAAACTAGAGAAATTCGAGTTCCAAATTATGAACATAAAGAAAATAGAGAGAACCATAAAGAACTACTACCACAATGAAGAGCAAAAGATGAAGAAGCAGAAGAAATGATTTGGCTATTTTTAAATAGATTAACTACAAGTTTAACTGAAAGTTTAACTCATGCTTTTTCTACAAATTCTACTCAATCTAAAAAACAGAGAATTGTTGAAATACCAACTTTCAAAGGAGATGATGATGACCTTATTATTTGGCTTGAATCCTTTAAAAGAGCTTGTAATGCCAACAACATCACAAATCCTAGAAAGCTAGCTATAGTACCTAACTTCTTAAAAGGTATTGCTCTTATGTGATATAACCAAACTAGAACCAACTTTGTTTATTGGTATAATAATGACAACCCCAACTTGGCATTTAAGTCATCATTCAAAAGACAATTTAGAAATCAACATAGAGTGAATCAATAGTTCTATTCTCTTTGATCAAGAAAACAAAAACTAGATAAAACTATTGAAGAGTATAATGCAGCTTTAGAAAAGCTATAGAGAAAAGTAGATTCAATGAATATATACCCTGATACTGATAAAATGAGACAATTTATTGATGGCCTCTGACAAGAATTTTATATTCCAGTAGAATCAGCCATGCTAACTACTTTAGATGAAGCTATTAATAGAGCTAAAGCTCTTGAAAATACTTTTTCAAAAGGAGGAACATTGTCTGCTTACTCTTTATTACTATCTAACCTCCAACTACAATACCTTAATTAATACAATACTACTCTACAACCCTCAGTCGAAAATATAGTAAATAAAAAATTATTTGCTGCTACTCAACAAATGTTGAATCAATTGACCTTAAAGCAAAGTTAACCCTCATCAAACAATAATCAAAACAGCAATAATAATCGAAATCGAAGTAATAATTACAATCATAATAACAATAATTATAACAATAACAATAATAACAATCGTAAAAATAATAACAACAATTGTAATCGTTGTGGTAAATCTGAACACTACACTTCACAATGCAGAGCTTCTATCTACAACGCTTGTAATCAAATTGGACATATTGCTCATAATTGTCAAACAAACCAAAACTGGAGGAATAATAATGACTATAACAACAATAACTATAATAACAATAACAGGAATAACAACTTCAATAATAATCGTAACAATAATCCAAATAACAATCAGAATAATCAGCCCTTTAATAACAACTAGCCTTTTAATAATAATCGGCCTAACAACAATAATTAATCTCCACTATAACAACAAAACAACAACAATAATAACTACAACAATGATGATACTCAAAGACAAAACTTCTTGAATTATTACAAAAACCATATCTAGACCCAAAACAATACTGAAAATAGTGTTGGCCAAAACAATTTTTTAAACTAGCTTTGACATCTCGAGAGAGTAAGCATGTCAAAATTACAAAGCCCTCAAACAATAAAGGATTTGTATATATATTTTTATTAAACAAGATTGATAAGTTGTTAAATTTAAAAGAAAAACAATTTATTTATAATATCAATACAAATATTTTTAATAATAACAATAATGAAAGTTTCTGGATAGACAATAATAAAGCAGAAACTATAGAAATTTGAAGATTTAATTTGGACCTAGAAACTAATGAAGAACAACAAGAAGTCAAAGATGCTTTATTTGTTACAGCAGAAGTATTTAACCAAGAAATAAATATAATAGTTGATACAGGTTCTAAAGGATGTATTATATTCAAACAATTCTTAAAACAAATCAACAAAGATATTAATGCTCCAAGTAATATCCAAGTTGTTGATATAATGGATAATAGATCAATACCTTTAGGAAAAGTTCTTAATATTTCTATAAGAATTGGTAAATATGAAATATTGATAGATATGTTGGTTACAGATTCCAAAGAATATAATATTGTACTTGAAAATGAATATTTAGATAAAGTTAAAGCAACTATTAACTATAATCTAGATCTAATAACTATAGGATAAAATGAAGACTTAGAAAGTATGCCTATTACATGTTGGAATAAAGTTAATAGCCCAAATGAGTTTGTTCAGATCTCAATATGAACCATACCTCAAAATAACTATGAACTTGAACTAGGGGATGAGGAAGAAGAAATGGACCAAATTCAATACTTTTCTACCCAAATAAAAGTAGATAATGCTTTTACACAGCAAAATGAACAATTAATTCCAACAGTATAAATAGAAAATGAAAAAGAAAGTATTCAAATTGATGAAACTTTCAAGCTAATAAAACCAGAAGTTGATGAAATTATTAAACAAAAACAAAAAGGGCAGTATCATTTATTACCTAATTTTTTTTTATCAGAGGCTTACCCCCTTCCCTCTCTTACTACCATAATTTGTCACATAAACCACCCCCATTATAGTAAACCCCCTTATAGTAGACCCGGGTCTGCAACATAGGCTTGGTTTAGGGTGAAAGTAAAAGACCCGGGTCTATTGTATAGTTAAAATATTAGACAATTAGATTTGAGCCTAGCAAATTTGGTTCTTTGCCTAAAGCTATGTAGAACCAATCAAAAAAACATATAATATAATTAAAATTGTAAAATCAAATTGCAAATCGCTATATTTTTGTATAAAGAAATTTGATCTTTATAAAATTTATTTGAAGAAATCTTTGTAGCAAAAAGACAAGCGATTAACAAAAACATTAGTAATTTGTTAGATTTTTTTTAAGGTTTTTGTAACTTCACAAAAGTAACAAAAAATATTTTCACAAAAAAAAAAGAGACTAGATTTAACGTCTATATTTTTTTTTATAAATATTTTCTATCAGTAAATTGATAATAAATAAATGGTTTATATTTGTCCTTTATTATCCAATCCTATTTAGATAACAATAACCAATACTATCTTTTCTATTAATATTTATTCAAACTCCGTTTCAATAGCAATATTCAATACCAATGATTAGTATTTTTCATATAACCGAATTTCTTTCATTTCAATAGCAGTATTCCAAGATCACCGATTGCAATATTTTCTGTTTCTGCAGATTTTTGATAATAGCCGAATTCCGCATATCATCCTGTTCAACTCTAATTCTATTATGATAGTAATTTCTAAGGTTACTTATTGCAATAGAATTTCTATTTCTGCGAATTTTAATAAAAAATGAATGCTTTCAGTTTATTTTATTCAATCTATTTCTTTCTTATAACAGTATCTAATATTAAAAGTATTTGTTCCAAAAATTAAACCGATTAATGAATATCAAGTTGAAAGTTTTTTTTTGTTTGATTTCGTTGCGTTTTCTTATTAAGGGCCATAATGGTATAGCTCCCCTAATCCCAAGAATTTATATAATTAAGTACCTCTTTGTCATAATAATCAAGAGGATTGTCTTCGCTACTGTTATTATTTTCAAACTCGTCATTTAATAAAATTTCATCGATAGGAATATTACTATCTAAGGAGTCCTCTGACAACTCGCTAGTTAAAGAATTTACTGAAGATTTATTATCATTATTGTCAAAAATGTAACTGCTACTTTGCATCTTATTTTCAATGATTTGATCATAATCAAATATCAAATCATCCTCAGAACTATCTCTTGCATTTGACACACCGCAACATTTAAATGATCTTTGAATAAACATAGGATCAATATTTCTCCATGCTCTTTCAACCCATTCTGCAACTGTACAATAAGCAGAACGTTGGATGCGACTACTATATGTTAATTTTTTTTATCTCTTCAGACATCTATTTATTATAATATTGACGGACCTATAAAAACCAATAGTAATATAATAATATATTATAATTTAATAAAAATTTCTTGGTTTACACGTATTATATGTATATGAATATGATTCTTTAATGGGTTGTATATTTCTATAACTTATCTAACTAATTGTTATTAACCAAATTAATTCTATTTAATAACAGAAAAATAATAATTTTAGAACTTAGAAAAAAAGATATAATTTATACTAAACTTTTTTGTCAAAACTTTAAAAACAATTTGATAATTAGAATTTTATAAGATAACCATATCCATATACATATATATAGCATACAAATAAAATTGCCTAATTTAATAAAATTTAAAAATCTACCTTATTTTTAAAAGGTTTGTTAATTGCTACATCAAGAGGTTGCAACTTTGATGTTAATCCCAAAGGAATAACAGCCAAATTCGTATTATGTTTACTAAATCGATGCTTTACTAGATCTGTCAAATGTCCCTTAAATGTATCTATAACTAGAAAAGACCTTGGATGCATAGATAACGGAGTATGATAAACCCAAACATTCTCAATCCACCAAATCATTTCATCAATATTCATCCATCCTTCTTTATTGGTACAAATCAGGACATCACTAGAGAAAGTTTGTCAGTGAATATTAGCAAGCTTAAAAATGATCATTGGAGGCAATTTGGTTCCATCTGCTAAGCATGCCAAAACAATAATAAATTGGGATTTTTTGTAACTACATGATCTAATGCTAATGGTTTTGGCTCTAGTTTCTTCGATTGTTGTATTGCTTGGCATATCGAATCTTATTGGGGTCTTATCCATATTAGTGATCAATTTTAAAGGGTAATCATATTAAATACGACTATATAATACAAAGTTCAAAATTTCTTGCTATACTTTCTTTAAGTTTTTGGGCAATTTCTGAGAAATTGTTATATGTCGACGATTACTTAAATTATAACGATGCATAAATCTATCTAACCATTTGTCACTTCATCTACACTCATAAATTGATAGATATAATTCAATAAATTGTCTTTGTGAAGCTAGACTTTTTGCTTTATTTTGACCATAAAACGTAAAACAGCTTTTTGATTCTTACATAAATTTCTAACCCAATTTATTAGCTCTTCTTCAAAAGTAGGATACTTTGGTCTAAAACCTGAATTTAGATGTTTAATATATGGTGCAGCAGCAATTAATTGATCCTTTTTTTTTTCTTCAATCTCGTATTTGGTTTGGTTGAATCTCAAATTTCATTGCAGTATTTCTAATATTAGCTCCTGGCTTTCATTCCAAATAGATAAGTATAGTTACTTTTTCTCGTGTGCTCTATGTTCTTTTTTTTTTTGAGTTATTATTGTTGTTGTTTTGTTGTTATAGTGGAGATTAATTATTGTTGT